GAAATTGAAAAAAGAAAAGAAAGAAAAAAGAAAGAAAGAAAGAAAGAAAGAAGTGTAAAAGAGGTTGAAAGAACAGAGGAAAAAACATTACCAGTGAGGGAAATTGAAAGAAAGAAAGAAAGAAAGAAAGAAAGAAAGAAAGAAAGAAAGAAAGAAAGAAAGAAAGAATTGTAATATAGGTAGAAAGAACAGAGGAAAAAACCATTAACACAAAAGGGAATTTGAAAAAAGAAAGAAATAAAAAAAAAGAGAGAAAGAAAGAAACTAATGTAAAAGAGGGAGAGAGAACAGAGTAAAAAAATATTATGATATGAGGAAATTGAAAGAAAGAAAGAAAGAAAAGAAAGAAAGAAAAAGAAAAGAAAGAAAGAAAGAAAGAAAGAAAGAAACCATAAAAGGGTTGAAAGAACAGATGGAAACATTACCAGTTAGGGAAATTGAAAGAAAGAAAGAAAGAAAGAAAGAAAGAAAGAAAGAAAGAAAGAAAGAAAGAAAGAAAGAAAAAGAAAGAGTAAAAGAGGTTGAAAGAACAGAGGGAAACATTACCAGTGAGGGAAATTGAAAGAAAGAAAGAAAGAAAGAAAGAAAGAAAAGAAAAGAAAGAAAGAAAGAAAGAAAGAAAGAAAAGAACAGAGGAAAAACCATTAACATGTTAGGGAATTTGAAAAAGAAAGAAAGAAATAAAAAAAGAAAGAGAGAAAGAAAGAAACTAATGTAAAAGAGGGAGAGAGAACAGAGTAAAAAACATTACGATGTGAGGGAAATTGAAAGAAAGAAAGAAAGAAAGAAAGAAAGAAAGAAAGAAAGAAAGAAAGAAGTGTAAAAGCGGTTGAAAGAACAGAGGAAACATTACCAGTTAGGGAAAGAAAGAAAGAAAGAAAGAAAGAAAAGAAAGAAAGAAAGAAAGAAAGAAAGAAAGAAAAGAAGTGTAAAAAGAGGTTGAAAGAACAGAGGGAAACATTACCAAATAGGGAAATTGAAAGAAAGAAAGAAAGAAAGAAAGAAAGAAAGAAAGAAAGAAAGAAAGAAAGAAAGAAAGAAGTGTAAAAGAGGTTGAAAGAACAGAGGGAAACATTACCAGTTAGGGAAATTGAAAGAAAGAAAGAAAGAAAGAAAGAAAGAAAGAAAGAAAGAAGTGTAAAAGAGGTTGAAAGAACAGAGGGAAACATTACCAGTGAGGGAAATTGAAAGAAAGAAAGAAAGAAAGAAAGAAAGAAAGAAAGAAAGAAAGAAAGAAAGAAAGAAAGAAGTGTAAAAGAGGTTGAAAGAACAGATGGAAACATTACCAGTTAGGGAAATTGAAAGAAAGAAAGAAAGAAAGAAAGAAAGAAAGAAAGAAAGAAAGAAAGAAAGAAAGAAAGAAAGAAGTGTAAAAAAAGGTTGAAAGAACAGATGGGAAACATTACCAGTTAGGGAAATTGAAAGAAAGAAAAAGAAAGAAAGAAAGAAAGAAAGAAAGAAAGAAAGAAAGAAAGAAAGAAGTGTAAAAAAGGTTGAAAGAACAGATGGAAACATTACCAGTTAGGGAAATTGAAAAAAGAAAGAAAGAAAGAAAGAAAGAAAGAAAGAAAGAAAGAAAGAAAGAAAGAAAGAAGTGTAAAAGCGGTTGAAAGAACAGATGGAAACATTACCAGTTAGGGAAATTGAAAGAAAGAAAGAAAGAAAGAAAGAAAGAAAGAAAGAAAGAAGTGTAAAAAGAAAGGTTTGAAAGAACAGATGGAAACATTACCAGTTAGGGAAATTGAAAGAAAGAAAGAAAGAAAGAAAGAAAGAAAGAAAGAAAGAAAGAAAGAAAGAAAGAAGTAAAAGCGGTTGAAAGAACAGAGGGAAACATTACCAGTTAGGGAAATTGAAAGAAAGAAAGAAAGAAAGAAAGAAAGAAAGAAAGAAAGAAAGAAAGAAAGAAAGAAAGAAAGAAGTGTAAAAGAGGTTGAAAGAACAGAGGGAAACATTACCAGTGAGGGAAATTGAAAGAAAGAAAGAAAGAAAGAAAGAAAGAAAGAAAGAAAGAAAGAAAGAAAGAAAGAAAGAGAAGAATTGTAATAGAGGAAAGAAAGTAATCTAAAAGAGATAGAATGAACAGAGGGAAAACATTACCATATAATGGAAGTTGAAAGAAAGAAGTGTAATAGAAGTAGAAATAAAAGAAGGAAAAACATTACCATGTGAAGGAAACCGAAAGAAAGAAAGAAAAAAGAAAGTGTAAAAGAAGTAGAAAGATAAGATTAATTTTTCTTCTCTATGTGTGTATGTACACGTCTGTATGAATGTGTGTACGCCTGTCTGCGCGCTTGATACTCTCATTATTTTTTTTCTTTTTGGTACCTTTCTGTTGTGTGGGTCCAAGATAACGTGACATTTATATATATAATAGCTTAAAAGCCACCCTATAGGGCGGTATTTAAGCTAGCTGATACAGAGAGCTCTTGATTATGCTTTCATCACAATAGGTAGGGAAGAGTAGATGTGATAGGCAACAATATACTAAAGAAGAACTCAAAATTGATCGCTACATTTAAGTATTGCATTAATACTTAAGCTGACTATGAAAGTTCAATAGTAATTGTTCGTTACCACTTAATTTAAAGACAGTTTGATGCATGTAAGTCATTACTTTCCGTAGAAACAATTACTTTTTATCACTTGGGTGACTTTCGGTGGATTACGCAGTTAATTTCGATAATTCCCAAATTTATTTCCAAGTTGCAAATTTCTTATCTTGCAAAAAAATTCGTCACGAAATGTCACGTAAAAATTGCCGAAAACAATTGCTGTAATGAAAATTTGGGAATCCAAAATTTCAGGATCTCGTGTCCAGATCCGACTAGGAATGTTTATTATTTACTCACAGTGTTGGCCTGATTTCAAAATGGTATTATATTTTGGGATCGGGCCTCTTGGAGTAAAGTTGAAAACACAGACAATTTTTTTTTCAAAACGTTAATTTCAGAACATTATATATATATATATATATATATATATTTTATTTCATACGTAATTTTCGCTGGATTTCTGATTGAATAAATTACAGACATTATGTCTGCTAACCTTCCGTGTATTGATGATGAAGTCTGAGGTAATGTGGCCTGACGATTACATCTAGCATGAAACAGTCGCCTCTAAGTGTTGACTTCTATGGTCACTTTTATATTTACACACGCCCTATCTCTGATATTGAGCACTTTATCCCATAAATATAGCACATCTTAAGACTATATTTCTTCTTTATATATATATATATATATATATATATATATAATTACACCTTTTACATAAATAAAGCCTTTGATGAGGTGTAAGTTGTACTTGCGAAACTAATTATTGTCTGTCTATATTTCTGAGATGAGGTATTATGTACAGTATTTACATTAAGCAATGATAACAAAGTTGCAATACGAACTCTGGTAAAGACATGCAATGATAACAACAAAAAATTGCAATGTGAGCACTGGTAAAAATGATGCTGAAAACATTAGGTCTATAATACTCAGAAGTTCATACCCAGATGTCCTCAAGGACACATGGCACAGTGGATAAAGGCGTTGGTCAGATCCAGTGACAGACCCAAAGAAGGTGAGTTCAATTCCTTCAGAGAAAAAATTAGCCGGAGATAACTGATAACTGACACCCATCAAACGTGGCACGTGGAACTAGAACAGTCTACCCCAGTGAGCGCAATAAAGGGTTTAGTTCGAAATTCCAACCACCTGAAGAACGGCCGAAAGATGAGGATAATAGTCCGACTAATGTAAATACTGTACTAATTATTTTGTATTTATTTAAGGCATGAGCTTTCGGGGTTCTCTTCACTGAGTCTATCAGAACCTTTTCCAAGAGAAACCAGGAACCCAACCACAACTGATATTACCGTTCTCTTCATTTATCATATTTTCAAGATTTCCACTTCAAGATCCTTGTAATTTGATAAATTTCTTCATGTCTTCAAAGATACATTACAGTATGCAGGAAATGTCATATCAATAAAACAACACATTCTCTTCTTGTGATCAATGGAGGATTAGATTTGATTGTTCTTTCTGTATGTACTTTAAAGTCTCATAAAATTGTTACAGACCTTTGTCTGTAACGAGGCCTGGGTGGTGTTCCTATCGATGTCTTGCAGTTTCCTTCCTGTAAAAGTTGCAAATTACCCTGTGCAGATATTGCTGCACCATGTCATGACGTGTTTTATATTCGGTGAATGTTAATATCGCGCAACCGGATACAAGATGGCCACTTGTTTCTGGATATTCATCAGACAAATCTGAATGTGAGGTTAACACAATTTTTCAGAATGAGTGCTTCGTCATTTCTTGTTAGAAAATCTTTCTCTTCTTCTGCATAATTCTTTTCTTTCTACTTCGTCTTTTTATTCTTCGTCTTTTATTATTTTCTTCTTCTTTTTCTTCTTCTTCGTCTCTTCTTCTTCTTCTTTTTCTTCTTCTTCTTCGTCTCTTTTTTTCGTCTTTTCTTCCTCTTCTTCTTTTTCGTCTCTTCTTTTTCTTCTTCTTTTTCTTCGTCTCTTCTTCTTCTTCGTCACTTCTTCGTTTTTTCTTCGTCTTTTCTTCTTCTTCTTCTTCTTCTTCTTCGTCTTTTCTTACTCTTCTTCTTCTTCGTCTCTTCTTAATCTTCTTCTTCGTCTCTTCTTCTTCTTTTTCTTCGTCCCTTCTTCTTCTTTGTCTCTTCTTCTTCTTCGTCTCTTCTTCTTCTTCTTCTTCGTCTTTTCTTCCTCTTCTTCTTCGTCTTTTCTTCCTCTTCTTCTTCTTCGTCTCTACTTCTTTTTTTTCTTCTTCTTCGTCTCTTCTTCTTCGTATTTTGTTGTTGTTGCTCTTCATCTTCTTCTTTTTCGTCTCTTCTTCGTCTTTTCTTTTTACTCTTCTTCTTCGGATTTTCTTCCTCTTCTTTTTTTCTTCTTCTTCGTCTCTTATTCATATCTTCTTCTTCTTCTTCTTCTTATTATTATTATTATTATTAGTAGTAGTAGTAGTAGTAGTAGTTGATATCCTGGCTGGCGCTTGGATGTTTCGGCCGGGTGATGATGATCCTGTCTGAGCTGCTACTCGCAGCTTAGACGCGAAATAAATTCCTCAGGACATTTCCTGTTTCAAGCACCTGCGCACTTCCAATCCTGTTGCAAGGGAATGTCTTTCGAGAAATAGTGCCGAGTGCCTTGCCCCCCAAAATTGTATATCTCAATTTTCACCTGGTTGGTCATCGCGATGTTCTTCACACAAGATACCGAAACTTCCAACAAAATCCATTGTTGGTCTTTTGCACAAATATATATCAAGTCACTTATTATTATTATTATTATTATTATTATTATTATTATTATTATTTCCTTTGATTCCTGGCGTGTACTCATCTCTAATTCCAGGTTCCAACCAGAGATCTCAGGCAAGAAATGCCAGTAGGACATTTCCCACTGTTTATATATATATATATATATATATATATATATATATATATATATATATATATATATATATATATAAAAACAATGACAGACAACCTAAAACCATACATATCAAGCACATCTTAAAGTGTGAGCTATACTTTTGAAGCTATTATTATTATTATTATTATTATTATTATTATTATTATTATATGCCTTGACTTTTGTTATAATCAGAGACTTAAGCGTAGATAAGGCTCTTCGTAATCTGAGTACTATATTTTGTATTCATTGAAATCATGGCTACCAGAAATTCCTTCAGTGAGACTATTGTAACCTTTTGCAATCAGTCCGAGGGTTCCAACTACAATAAGAATTATTGATGTCCTCATATGCCACATTTTCGGTGATTTCCTCTTCAAGATCCTTGTATTATGATTGTTATTTTTAAGATCTTCAAAGATGCATTACAATCTGTAGGGACTATCATATCAATAAGTAAGCACATTCTGTTCTTGTGGTCTTTGATCATGGTGTCTGGACAATTGTTATTATGATTTGCTTTGTTTTCAGATTAATGTTTTCTCTATTTTTTTAAATATCACTGCAGAGAACGAAATAAGATGCTATGGTCCTACCCTTTATGCATATTGCTTTAATACTAATTGTTGAAACTTGACTAATGCATGGAATAATAATGCAACACAAAATGTACTTAGAACAAAATGTATTGAAACAAGAAAATGTACACAATATTTACATATAGTCTTTTGTATATTCCTGGTAAGACCGTTCCTGGAGAATGTGTTGACTTAGTCGCAGTCGGGCAGAGTCTCTGGATTGAATCTCTTGATTCCTCCACTCTATACATAAAATACATTTTTATTTTTTATTCCCTTCCCCACAAAGACTAGAATTGTACGTATCAGGACTAGTTAGAACTTCATGGAGATTCTGAGTTATTAAGGTAGATTTAGTAAGTATGGTAAGTAAAAATGTGTTGTATTGGTCTAAGGAATAGTTTGGGTGAATAATTGTGGCTAGCTTAGTGTTGAAACTTGACTAATGCATGGAATAATAATGCAACACAAAATGTACTTAGAACAAAATGTATTGAAACAAGAAAGTGTACACAATATTTACATATAGTCTTTTGTATATTCCTGGTAAGCCCGTTCCTGGAGAATGTGTTGACTGAGTCGCAGTCGGGCAGAGTCTCTGGTTGAATCTCTTGATTCCTGTATTTATCTATCCACCCACGAGGATAAAATGTGGCACAAGGCCGGTTTAAAGTGGGTATCTCCGAGCCCATAGGCTCGGCCAAAATATGGCCTTTCTGAACCCGCCTAGACGGGTTCAAGGCCTGTCTACCACCCCGGACGAAACCGCACGTCGACAATATAGATGACGATCGCCTGGAAGGTGATCTTTAATCTGAACGATCTCTAACAACTAAATTGGGGAAATTTTTCTTTTAACACCGCTTGCGTCAAATACAGTGCTGCGCAAAATAAATTGACTCGGTCAAATGTTTCTGAAACAAAATCTTATTTTTTTCTTAATATTTTAGAAAAAAAAATAGAGTTTTAAAAAATTGGTATATAAGTAAGGGAACTAATGCATTGTCTGCAACTTTAAAAAAAATCTTAAGAAACAAAATTCATGCATGTTATTTTTGATTTTAATGTAAATATTTACTGTGCGAAAAAGTTACTGACTTTTTACGCTGTATTAATATCTATAAAGTTAATCTAATATTTTCTTAAAAAAGTAAAATTTGGTAAAATAAAAAAGAAATAATTCATTTGTAATTTATGCTTCTACATATGTTTTCAGGACTTTGTTGACTCAGTCCGGCATGGTCTTAATGAGGGTTTTGAAGATGTCATCTCTTAGCAAACTGTTCCACTCCACAATAAAATTTTCAACCAAAGATACTTCGTTGTGAATGAATTTCTTCGAAAGTCTCATTTTTATTCCGCTCCAGAAATTCTCGTTTGTATTTAAGTCAGGAAATTGTGGTGGCCATACCATAACATTAACATTTTTTTTTCGGAAAAGTAATTTTACATCTGCTTTGGTGTGTGGTAAGGAGAACTGTCTTGCATAAAAATGAGATTTGATTGATTAATTTCGAGTTTTTTAGCAGATGGCAGAAAACAGGTGTCCAATATTTTTGAGCATTACGTGCTGTTCAAAGTTTTGTATACTGGTTTGAAAAATCCAGTCTCATTTAATGAAAAGCAAACCCAAACCATAAAATTGACAGAATGCTTCACAGTCATTTTGACTGTCATTTTGAAAGAGATTTCTCCGTCTGATTTTTGTTCTTTTGTCTTTTGAAATCATTTAAATGTTTGTCTCGTCGGAGAAAAAGAACAGTTTTCCTATCAGACTCAGTGAAGAACTTGTAAGTGTTTGCACGTGCTAAACATTTAGTCTAAGGTGTTTTATTTAGCGGTGGTTTAAAATCTTTTTAATAGTCTTTGTAACCTTCGTTCAAGGACCATCTGCGTACAGTAGAGGAGCTCACTTAGTCGGAGATCATTTTTTCAAGGTAGCAGCAATTTCTGTACTGGTAATTGACAGGTTTTGGTTAATTTCTCTAATGCTTTTGCGTCCGGTTTCCTTCAGCGATCTTGGGTTTTCTACCCCTGTTGTCTACATTGACAAATATTTCAGTGGAATGGAACCTTCTCAAATCCCTCGAGACAGTTGACAAGTGTTGACAATATTTGCAATTTCTCGAGTCGATTTACTAGCTTTTGATAGGGCAGCTATTGCTAATTTAACAGATTGTGGCATGTGCTTGTAGCATTTCATAACAAATCAGTAATTCATTATATTTTTGGTTTCTTTTATATATTTTAGAATAATTCTAGAACTTTCGAGATTTTTAAGAAATATTCTGGAATAAAAATTATGGAAATAAAATTACGAGGTGTTTTGAAATAATGACACATTTTTTAACGAGTAAGAATTTTTTGCACAGCAAATATTTACCTTAAAATCAAAAAATAACATGCATTAATTTTGTTTCTTGAGATTTTTTTGTAAAATTGCAGACAATTTCCCTCGCTTATACACACCTTTTTAAAACTATTTTTTATCTAAAATATTAATAAAACATTTTTTTTTTCAAAAACAATTTGACTGAGTTACTTTTATTGCACAGCACTGTACCAAGTTATTAACGTTTTATCAACATTAAATCGACTCTTCATTGCCGTTTATGATAATGAGCAGTTGTTCAATCAAGGAAGATCCTTGCTCTGAAAGCCTGTTGCGACTCAATTTTGCCACATAATTAGTGGAACTTGTCCTGGGTATGACGATAAATGCCATCCTGTAACAAATCATCTGAGGTAAAAATAGAAGTCGATTACGCACTATCATTCCATTGCCTCTAAAACTGATCGTTGAAAGAAAGTAAACTAAAAAAGGTTGTTTCAATTAATCTGTACAAGATTAAAGATATGGGATATATATTTTTAAAAAGAAATTTTGCGTTGGTTAATTTCCTTTCTTGTAAGGAGAAGCAAATGTTCACCTCTCGTTTGATTTTGTGAGATTATTTGGTAAAAAGATGCAGCTAAGTAATTAAAAATTAATTATGAAATAATGCCGTTCTATTGAATTACCGTATATACTTATATATCTTGCGAATTTTGAAAACATAATTTTGAAGCTAATTTTAAGAGGGTCGTATCATACACGAGATATAAAATTAGCTTATGTATTACTGGCCCTGGCTATGCCCTTGACCAAACTATATACAGTTTAACCCGGATATAAGAGAGTTGTCGGGACTGGAGACGAAGTCTCTTATATCCAGGTTTCTCTTATATCCGGGTTTGGTCTATTATATATACATTAACACAGGCTCTAATTTGGGACCAGAGAAAATCTCTCATATCCGGGTTTCTCTTATATCCGGGTCTCTTATATCCGGGTTACACTGTATATCTATTTACTGTAGTAAAAAAGTACAGCTATATTTAAAATAAACATATTTTTGATATAACTGATATTTTACTTAAATGTATCCAATACTAATGCGTGTAATATTCACATATTAGTATCCTATTATAAAATCCAAAATAGCGAATATGCATCTTTTTTTAGGGTTTACGGTTATAAGATGTTAAGCTGTTTCTCGTTCGGTTGTTTATGGCTGTACCCGTTTACGCAACGAGTATATCGTTACTAACTATACTTTTATCATTCTCTTTTTAACTTATTTAACTAGAAGATGAGATAAAGAGATAGAGGAAAATAGGTTTTTCTATTGTAAGTTCGTCTCTCAAAAAAGGAACTCTCCTGATACACGAGGTACATGATAAAATCAGTTTTTATAAGTGGAAATTTGGGGCCACACGATGAGCGAGTTGGCGCGTTACACAAGTATATAATGTAATTATACAGTTAAAATTTTTCTTATTTAGATTTCGGCATTAAATAACCCATAGAGGTGTTGATATGCCGCCAAATAAAAACAACCAAACCAAACAAGTGGAACTCATATATATGATCCATCGCTAATGATGCTGCGAAAAATCCTCAGTTCCTTGTAGCGTTCCAGTAAGAACCTGACTCTTCAAGCTA